AGTCGGTTTCTGACAGCAGCAGCGGCTAAAAGAAGTCGGTTTCTGACGGCAGCAGCGGCTAAAAGAAGTCTGTTTCTGACGGCAGCAGCCTGATCCCTGGACTTTAGAGGTCCTTCCAGCTACAGGTGCGTCCGTCGAACTCATCGTTTCAACAAGGCCTCCGGCTGTTGGGGGCAACGTGTGTCTGAAAACCTTCAGTTACTTTGGTTGGGACCATTTCAAACGATACATAAACTCAATCAGATACTCGACGTCTCTTCAGTTGTTTCCACATCAAAGTCAAAGATTACTGAAAAATTATTAAACATATTTTTCCTGGTTTCAAAGTTGACTGAAGTCATCACTCAATAAAGTCTGCTAGGTTTTTAAGGAAAATAAGAGACGATAAAACAATTACATTTAAAATCTCATCTTGAGGGCCAGATGTTTACGAGGGCCATATTTGAGCCCTGGGGCCTCGAGTTGGACACGTGCTCTGCAGACTGTGAATGAACCCTTGGAAGAGCTGATGGGGAAAATCTGCCACACATTAAGTTTTGTTTGTGTTTTTATTTATTTATTTTGGTGCAGTCAATAAACTTGATTTTGTCTGACAAAGACTAAAATTCCTTCTACTTTTTATTTATTTAGTCAGAAAAGTTTCCGATGCTCTTCTAACCTCACGGTAACTTTACGGGAACATCAGCCACATTAAAATATACTAAATACAACTGTTAATATAATTATTATATTATAAAATAATAAAGGCAGCCAGTATTAGTTGATTAGAATCAGACGCTGTCTCTATCTACAGGTCTGTCTTGTAAATGAGGCTCGATGAGACTAACCTGTAGAAATAAAGGTTGAGTGAATGAATCCTCTCAGTCATAACTCACTGCCTGGTCAAAAACAAGTCTCCACCTGGATGTAGCTCATGAAACAGGTCCGAGCCTCCTGCTGGATCATCAGTGCACGGACGATCATCCTTCAGCTGCAACAGGTTCTTTAACTCCAACTGGTGCAGCGAGTTGCTTCTCATTCTTCAACAACATGATGAAAGACTCATGGTGGTCGTGGAGAAGATGTCAGTCTGTTTGAGAAGGGTCGAATCATCGGCACCAAGCAGAGGAAACATCTAGAAACTATTGAAACTGGGTTAAGAACTGTCCAACACATTATTAAAACTGGAAGGACAGTGGGGACCCATCGTCTTCCAGGAAGAAATGCAGCTGGAAATAAATCCTGAATGATCGTGATCAGTGATCATTTAAACGTTTGGTGAAGTCAAATGGAAGAAGAACACCAGCAGCACTCAGGGCTGTGGTTCATAGAGACAGTAAGAACATTTCCACACACAATGTGAAGGAACTCAAGGGACTGGGACTGAACAGCTGTGGAGCCTTAAGAAAACCACTAACCAGTGAGGCTAACTGGGAAAAAGGCTTTAGTTTGTTAGGGAGCATAAAGATTGGACTGTGGAGCAATGGAAGAAGGTCATGTGGTCTGATGAGTCCAGGTTGACCCTGTTCCAGAGTGATGGTGCATCAGGGTCAGAAGAGAGGCAGGTGAAGTGATGCACCATCAGGACCAGTGTCTCGTCATCAATGAAAGATGTTGGTGAAACATTAAAGCAACACTGGATGAAACAGATCTTGTGACGTTGAAGAAGTTCATCGAAACAAAGACACAGAGAACGATGTGATCAAAGATAAAGGAGCTCCAACCAAATATTAGTGTGCGACTTGTTTTTTGGTGACAACTTCTTTTTGGCCAGTGTATTTTTTCTGTTTACCTCCACCCTTCACTTTATATTTTTAGATTTGCTCACTAGAAGCAGCTCCACCTTTACATCTGGGAGCCTGTGAAATATTTTACAGGTGGAGTTGAACTCCGCCTCGAAGCAGAACCTTCTTTTGTCCGAGCGTCACTGCAGAGTCCCGCCTCTCATCTCGTCCGACAAAATAGTTTGTTTGTCCGTAAAGAGCAAGAAGTCTGTAAACATTTAGTAGTAAAAAGCTGTTTGACATGCATGCAGGCTGCAGCAGCTGCTGACTCTGGATCAGTACCAGCAGAAACTTTTAGAAACCAGTTTCCACCACCAGTAAATAAACAATTATTAAAAAAAGCTCCACGTCTGAGAGACGGGAGGAAGTTTGACTGAAAACAAGGCGTCGTTTTCAGCTGCCGGGTCAGGCTCTGCACAAAACTAAAGACTGAAGTGTCAAAAAATCATGTGGGTGTACTGATGGAGGGAAACAGTAATAATGACCATTAAATAAATATTTTGTTGATTCTAATTCTAATCGTAAAAACACAAAATATTGAAAACCACAAAAATAAACCTGTTGTGTACATCTCTGCATGAAGTGGAAATTTATGTGCAAAATAAACCTGGATATATTTTATTCCACATTTAATGTTTAAAAATAAAAAACTGAGAAGAACTGGATTTATGTACTTGCTAAAAAGTAAATAGTTTATTTCCTGTGTGACTCCGTCCTGGTCAGACATCTGCGCATGTTTCAGAGGCGGTCGGTGACTCAGATTAAAACGTTGTATGTTTTTACTCTTTTTGTGAAATGTGCAATCACTGAAAACATGTAAAAATAAATCACACACTCTGACCTTGAGTTGCATAATTCATTTTTTATTTATTATATTATTTTTATTTCATATTACGATTTACTAAATGCAACAACAGCAGACTAGCACGTCCTAAAATGGCCCATGAGGCAGTTTTGCCCTTTAGATGCATTTGTTCCAGTAAAAAAACAATGAAACGTCCAATATTTGTTGAAAAAGCTCGTATAAAACCCGTTAACGCTGCAGAACGAGACCGGAAATTAAAACACTGAAGTTTTCTTCACTTTGTTGGTTTTTGTTTCATTTGAAAGGAACAGTTTGTATGAACTGTAAATAAAATGTAAAAATAAATAAAAGCAGGTGGATTCTTGTGAATTTTATTCTAAAGAACTGTTATTGTTAACTTCCTGGAACAGCTCCTCGTTCACTTTCAACAGCCAAAGCTGCTGAAATCTTAAAAATAAATA